CGGACGGCGGTGATGAGATGATGATGATGACCGGAAATATATGTATATTAGAGGCTCAATATATTGTACCAAAAAGCCTTCTAATGGATTACCTAAACACCTACTTCGATCGTACTTGGTGGAGCGTTTAATTCGAATCTCCATAACTCTCGAACAAAGCTATTTCTCGTGTGTATGTAGAGAGAAAAGTCGGCTAGCATCAACTATGTAGGAGAGATTGGGACATGGTGTATTTATAGGCTCCATTAGGGGACCTTAAGGAGGTGCTAAATATGGGCTTATCCCATTTAGGCCTAGGAGATCTCCTACTAATCTCCTAACACTAGAGGAGATCCTAGTAGCAATATTAATTTAGGCCTAGGAGATCTCCTACTAATCTCATAACTCAAATACTAATTTAATGTAGGAAGGAGATCTCCTACTAATCTCCTAACACTAGAGGAGATCCTAGTAGAAATATCTTTCCTAATTAAATTAATAATCATGGAATAAAATTAATTCCTAATTTAGGAAGCCTAATTATACTCCAATTAATTATTTAATATAGGAAATATATTTCCTACTAATCTCCATCTTATAGAAGACTCTCTAGTCTCCTAATCCCAAGAGAAGATTCTAGTAGAAATTTTATTCTCCTAATTAAATTAATTAATATGGAATAAAAATAATTCTTATTTAAATAAAATTAAATAATAAAACATCCCACTAGAGTAATATTATTGCTCTCCCCATTTAGCCATTATTTACCAATAAAATTGAGTCTCCATGATTAAATAATATTAATCTGATTGATCGATTTACCTCCATTTGTTTAAGATATAACGTCCGTTGATTAATTAAATTACTGACAAAATAATTAATCAACTTCTTATTCATTTCCAAAATTAGTACCACTCAAATCTTTAACCATTATGTCAGACATTCGTCTACCTGCAGGGTTTAACATAATGTTCCTTCCTGAGCTCATTTCGGGGACGTCACCAATCCAGCGCACTGGAACATAGTGACCGTAAATAATTTATAATAGCACAACATATAATTATTCTTACTTACCAAAATACCTCGTATGTCATCTTAATAAAATAGGAATCACTTGGTAAATCAAATAAATAAGAAATAAAAATATATGCCTATTTTATATTATCTTACAGCTTAAGAGAACGCATCAATCACTGAAGGTCTAGGTTACAACAACGGTCAGTGAGTCTCATATCCTTATCCTTTTGTGGTCTTGTTCAACACTTAACATAAGTGTTAGTGTAACCCTTCTAACAAAGACAAATTGAATCAAGAATACACTAAAGTCTTTTTCCAAGAGGGGTCTCACTGCCTGTCTAGACTGTGAACGAATAGTTTAGTCTTATAAGGAACCGATAGGTGATCTTTCTGTTTGAAACTCTTCGAACCACACTATCTCAATATAAGACATGGAGTATGATTTGCATAAATAAATGAACTGCAAACATATGTACTTTGACCGAAACATGATGACCAGATCAAAATAGAATTGATAGAATTTGCAAAACATAGCTTTTACATCATACCTCTAACAATCTCCCACTTATGCTTTATAAGCTCGTGCTAAACAAAATAACCACAATTTCTTTCAATCTAATTCTCAAAGACTAGTCTACTATGTCGCCCTAACATCTGACTCCCATTCCTTCTACGTGTCTTGTAAAGACTTTCGTCGGTAGGCTCTTCGTAAAAGGATCTGCTAGGTTGTCCTCTGATTGTATCTTAGCAACAACGACTTCTCCTTGTCCAACTACTTCTCGTATCAGGTGGTACTTGCACTCTATGTGTTTACTCGCTTTATGAGTCCGTGGCTCCTTCGAATTTGCTGCTGCTCCGCTGTTATCACAGAACACTGTGATTGCAGCCGGCAAACTCGGTACCACATCAAGTTCGAGGAGAAAATTCCTGAGCCAGACAGCTTCTTTCGCTGCCTCTGAGGCTGCTACATACTCAGCCTCCATGGCTGAGTCCGCCACGCATTTCTGCTTGACACTCCTCCATACTATGGCTCCTCCTCCTAAAGTAAACACAAACCCTGAGGTTGACTTGCTTTCATCCCGATCTGCTTGGAAGTCAGAATCGGTGTAACCCAACGGAAGCAATTCATATGCCTGGTAAATCAACATGTACTCCTCAGTCCTACGTAGGTACTTGAGTATATGCTTTACCGCAGACCAATATTCCGGTCCTGGATTACTCTGATATCTTGCTACCATGCCCACGACATAACAAATATCAGGTCGCGTGCACAACATAACATACATGAGGCTTCCTACTGCTGATGCATAAGGAACTGCCTTCATGTCCTCTACCTCTTGA